CAGTGGTTCCACCGCCTGCCTGGCAAGCACAAAGACCCGAATTCGATCTCCAGTACCAAAAAAATAAAAAAAAGTATGAAAGACAAATTTCATAATGATAAAAGGATAAGCACCTCATAAACACCTTAATGCTTCATAACGGAAAAGCTAAACTTAAAACAGAAAAATAATTTATTATTGTACTTGGTCAGATAGCAACAATCTTTCTTTAACAATTGAGAATAAGCAGACAAAAATAATGAAAGTATAAATTTTAACATTGCAGGGCAATTTAAGTTGTCTGGGATTTATAGAATACTCCATTCAATAAAGATAGAGCACACTTTTAAAAAGTCCATATGAAACTTCACCAAGGCATGATATGTTGTCTATCATAAGACAAATATAGGCAAAGTTTAAAGAGGTTAAATAATACAAGTTATGTTTACTAACAACAAAACAAACTAAAACTTCAAAAGAAAAATGGAGGCTCACTAAATATTGGATAATTAAATGTCATATGTCTAAATAATTGATAGCAAACCAACACTTATAGAAAGCTAGAAAATATTACAAATGAAATAAAAAGTGAAAATCACAGCATATCGAAATATGTAGAGAATATCTAAAGTGAAATTTTAGAGGCAAATTTGTAACATTGAATACTATAATAAACAGAAATATATAATTGAGCATTTCAGCATTTTCCTTAAGAAAACAGAAAATTATGCACAAATGAAACCCAGAAGAGACAAAAATAATTTGAAGCCTTCATTAGAAACTTTCCCACACAGGAACAAATGCTTAGGTGGACACACTAATGAATTTTCCAAACTAATAAGAAAGGAATGATGCAGATCCCTCACAAAATTTCCCCCAAAATAGGTGAAGTGTAATTCTTCCCAATCATTTTATAAGACCAAAGCTGGAAAATATACTCAAAGGAAATAGAAAGCCTGCATCCATCATGAATAAAGATTTTAAAAAATATGACAGGAGCAAAAACACATATAGCAATATGGCAAAAAGTAATATATTAATCACATGGAGTTCAGCTTGGGAAGGCAAAACTATTATTGACAATGTAGGAAAAGAGACTAAGAACAAAATCATCTCAAAACTTTTTTAAAGAATTAAAATCATGGGTAAATCTTAAAAGCATTATTCTTTTTTTTGTTTTGTTTTGTTTTGTTTTTGTTTTTGTTTTCTTTTTATTGAGGTTATTGGTACAATCTAGGTATACAATACAATTACATTCATCATTGGGATTCTGTACCTTTACATAATAGGTCTTGATTCTCATTTTTCCTCTTGTCCCTGCCCTCCCTCCACCCCCT